GCCGCCGCATTAATCAGGAATGGTAATTGTTCCGGGGGGGAGGGGGGGGGGCCATCATTAAAAAGGGTGCCACATTAAACTCAAGCTCACTCACCTACTCCCTGTGTCTCTCTCCCTCTTTCTTTCTTTCTTTCATGCGGGCTATGGACTGCTCCATGGCGAGCAGCCCGGGCGCCTGTCCAGCCCCTGTTGGGCTTCACTGTCCCGAGATTCCCCTCAGTTGGTACACGCCAACAATTTTAGGTCACCCATGGCCTTAGCAAAAAATCATTAGCTTTGTTGGTTGGTGTGCACACTTCGGCTTGAATGGTTCTTCAAATGCCTTGGTTGCAACTGCTCTCTCTGTCTCTCTCTCTCTTTCTTTCTTTCGTGCGGTCTATGGAAGAGGGCAGGTGCCCCCTTCCGGGCTTCAATGCCCAGCCCGTGTTGGGCTGTTTGGTTGGACTATAACCCCTCATACGGTTAGGTTGTGATCTGGCTGCAACAAGTTTGAGAGTTGGCACTCTCGCTCTCTCTCTCTCTCTCTCTTTTGGCTTTGGCATTGGCTTTGGATAAAGGGATGGCGACAAGTCGCCGGCCCTTGGTCCCCCCCATCATAGTTTTGTCTCGTGGTGTCGCGTGAAGCTGTGGTTCTCCGGCCGTATTATCATAGCGTACTGACATGGTGAACAGGAGCCTAAACAAATCGGTTATGGAGATACTGGCTCCTGTTAGGAACCGAAGATCTTTGACATCCCTGCGTTCCCGCCTTGATTCGGAATCAGGTAATGCTATGGCTGAAAACAAAGGCGTAAACAAAGTACCAGTTCCTTCGTCGGGAAGAGACACACCTAAGTTCGTGCCTCCGCCAACTTCTCAGATGTGCTCGTTGTGCGAGTTCACATTGCGCACAGGGCTTGGTCAAAGGGACCTGCGCCGGAACCCGCCCAAGGCCTCAAGGCAACCCGCGTTGCTGGACCTGTATAACAGGAATTGTGAACCTGCACAGGACATTGCGCAGAGGGACCTGTGGAAGTGTAGAAGGGCCTGGTCAAAGGGACCTGTGCCGGAACATGCCCAAGACCTCAAGGGACCCCGCGTTGGTGGACCTATGTAAGGGGACTTGTGACCCGCCAAGACCTGTCCATGTTTGCTGTGCACAAGACATTGCGAAGAGGGACCTCTGCAAGTGTAAAGGCCTGGTCAAAGGGACCTGGGCAGGAGGACCTGTTTAAGGGGACTTGTGGCCCGCAACTGTGCGCGTGTAGAGGTGCTTGGTCAAAGGGACCTGTGCCGGAACCCGCCTAAAGCCTCAAGGGACCCCGCGTTGGTGGACCTGTATAAGGAGACTTGTGCCGCAAGGACCTGTCCATGTTCGCTGTGCACAGGACATTTCGCAAAGGCACCTGTGCGAGTGCAGAGGGGCAAAGGGACCCGTGCAGGAAACCCAGGCTTCAAGGGACCCCGCGTTGGTGGACCCGTATAACGGGACCCGTTACCCGCAAGAACCTGTCCATGTTCGCTGCGCACATGACAGGTCCCTGTTTACGGGTCGCGCCAGGTCCTTGATTTTAGGCGCCAGGTGTCCCAAACCTTAATTTGGGTCCAAAACCATAACTGTAGGTCCCACGTCCTTAATTTTTCAGGTCCTTCCTTTGTACGTCCCAGGTCCTGAATTCTAACAGGTCCAAGGTCCTTCCTTAATTTCACGTCCCAGGTCCTTAATTTTTGGTCCCGAAATCAATAATTTTAGGTTCCAGATCCCCTTCATTTTAGGTTCCACGTCCTAGTTTTAGGTCCCATATCCTTTGTTGTTAGGTCCAAATTTTTAATTCTAGGTCCCAAATCCTTAACTGTTAGGTCCCCGAAACCCCACACAGTTGGCCAGTACAGAGATCCGTCTATGTCGAGTCTTTTTACAGGTCCCGCCAGCCCAAGGACCCGTGATCCTTTGCTATCCCCTATAAAGAAAAAGGCTTAATGTTTGGGCTTCGGGCTTTAAAGGGGTTCGGATTTAAGCAACCCAAATCCCTAAATTTGGGGGGGTTTTGGTTTAGGGGTTGCAGGTTTTGGGTTTTGGGTAGGCAGCGGACCTGTGTGGCTGGACCTGTGAGACCCCAAAAAACAAGGACAAACCCACAAAAAAAAAGGACAACCCCGACAAAAAAATATAGACCCCCCTCTAATTTCCGCCCCTGTTTCAACACAGCCCCCTCTCTGTCTCTCTCTCTTTCTTTCTTTCAGGACTACATGGGAGTTCTCTCTCTCTGTGTTTCTTTCTTTCTTGCTTTCATTCGGGCTCTGTGTAGACCCAGGTTGGGTCCCCCGAGCACCTGCCCAGCCCTTGTAGGGCTGAACTGTTGGTGAAATAAACCCCTCACTTACACATGGCAGGTTTCACCATGCTCGCCGACCGGTTTGAAACACGGAAAGTAGTCATTGGTCACAGCCGTGAGTGTGATTAAATGTTTGGGTTGGCTTATTGTGGGTGAGACTGCATGAGGCTTGAATGTAGTTGTGACCAGTAAGAGTGCACGTAGTATAGCATAGACAAGGATGATCGAATGCAGCATGAGATAAGGCGTAATGTGGCCAGTGGGTTCTGGCCTCATTTTTTGCAGTGAGAAATTACTGGCTGGCACGCTGCTGTGGGGTAACTGCGTCCACAACGTAATTGTGCATGAGTTTGGGCTTGCTGTCCACGTCAGCAAAACTGTGGCCTTCTCACGCTTGTTGGCTTTCTCAATTCGAGGAGCTTTTGAGGCCCTGTGGCTGGTTAACGAGTTCAGTGGCCAGCACTTGAATGGAGATTTGCCCAAGCAACAAAATTGGTGTGGGGAAGAATTATAATAGTGCACAAGGTGTAAGCATGTGACTGCACTAATCTCCAGCAGGCATTAGCTCTTCAGAATCCCTCAGTGCCTCTTCTTGTCAAGGTTGCCAAGGCGCAGGTTGTAGTGGAGGGGGGTCTCTTAGATGCTCTTCTTGCCACTTGCGTCGGTGCAGTATCATGTCCCTAGTTTTCATCGTGTGGTTGCTAGTTGCCTTTGCATCCAACCATCTTACTGACCCTGTGGTGGTGGCGCTGTAGCGCTGGCTACTTTCCGCCCTTAGTACCATGCCGTGCCCGTCGCGTATTCCACCTGAAGATGACCTTTGCTGGCCCCTTGTTCCAGTAGCAGGCGCTTAACTTTTCCTGCGGAACAGGCCCTGCGCCTCCTCTCCGGGGTCTGTGAGAAGCTGAGCCAGAAGTGTCTGGGTTGGTAGGCTTGCCTGACCAACTGGATGGCCTGGGTAATTCTGGAGAACATGGCCTGCTCATTCTCGTTTTCCTTGAGTTTGTGGGGGCTAACCAAGTATCCACGCCGAATGCCAGGCACAAAAGCTTCCTGCATATCGATATCAAGCTTGAGGTTGTTGCATGCGTCTTTTGCCACGTGCAGGGTGGTAGCTGCTTCTTGATCATCTGCCCACCCGCCCATTATGAGTGCAGGTTGTCTATCCTGTGCTGTGGTGGTTGATGTGGCCCTGGATAGAAGCGGTTGCGCCTCAAGTTTGGCCAAACGCTGTTGGGTGTCCTGGAAGGTGTCCTGGTTTGCCTTGTCCTTGCTCTGAAGGTTGGCAAGGTCTGCGGAGTGTTGGCTTTGAGTAGCTGTGATTGCTGTGAGCAGTGCGATTTGCTCCTTCATCCTGTCTGTGAAAGCTGCCTCCACTTGCCCAATTCTGGCTTCCACAGTACTGATCTTGGCTATGAGCGGTTGCATGGCGTGCTGGAACATCTCCAAGGTGAGGGGGGTGCCTTCCTGTGCTCCATGATTTGGGCTGTAACAAGGCTGTCTGCATCCACCTCTATGGGTGCTGTAGCTGGAATTGGCCTGTTAGATGCCATGTTTCCTGGAGTGGTTTGCCGCAAAGGGGTCCTTGCCAGAGTCACGACCTGGTAGGTGTTGCTCTCTGTCTCCCAGCGTAGCGGAGTTGCAAGAGAAGAATGTAGAGGCTTGCCAGGACTGGGCCAATGGCCAGCTGTGCAGCACCTGACACCGTACAGGAGCGTCCAAGTAGAGGTTCTCATCCAGAAGGCGGAAGGTGAAGACACGTAGTGGTACCATCTTGCCGAGGGAAAAATCGCTGCGGCACTGAGAGATTGGATCGAGATTTCCTCCTAAAGCCCTCCCGGACACTGAAAAGAAGGGTGGAGTGACTATCTGTGGGCTCACGGAGTGTGTCGGGGGCTTGAAGCTCATGGCTTGAGACAAAATGGCTACTTTCTTTCTTTCGTTTGGGCTCTGGAGAGACCCCTGATGGGATCTCCCCGGGTGTCCTGCCCGGCCCGTGCAGGGTTGAGCTGTCGGTTTGAACCCCTCGTCAAGAGCATGGTTTTCAGGGTCAAGTCTAGATTTATGAGGAGGTTGTTACCATGCTCTCTCACCCACATGGTCGGTGTCACCATGGGCTTTGCCAACTTTGCTTGACAGGATAAAGTTTGCAGTATGGAGCTACTCTCTCACTCTCTCTCTGTATGTCTATCTGGCTTATTTTGTTTCTTTATCGTTGGCTCTTTCCTTCTTTCTTTACATCTTTCTCTTTTTTGTGCTTTCTCTGCTTCTTTCTTTCCTCGGTGCGGCTGTTGAGACGTAGGACAGCCTGCTTCCCGGCAAGAGCTGCGCCGCTTGTCAAGCAATGCTGTTTGGGAGACCTTACGCAAACAAATCCGCCATCCTCTTGAAGGTCCAGCTCTGCCTCCATTGAGTCCACCGTCTAAAGGCATCTCATATCTAAGCTAGCTCTTCTATCTGCGATCAATGGACAAAAAAGGCGATGTTGAAATTGAACCTGGAAAAGCTACCCTTTATTGTCCTCCCTCCCTCAATAACTCGACGCTTTGACAACCACTTCCTCCGGGCGTTCGCCTCGCTTCGTGCGGTCACTTCTTTTCAAGAAAGTGGGATTACAAAAGCAAATGATGCCGCCTGCGGGCCCTTAGACACCCTGCATCTAGACCCTTCGTGCTGTTTGAAGAACTTGAAGAAGGGTGTGAGCGTCGTTTCCAAAGCCAGGCCCGGAATGCTTGCACATGTAACAAAGGGGGTGCGCCTGCGAAAGATTGATCTTCATGTCGTTGGCAATGTAATTCCTGGGGAAGCTGTTTCAGGGTTGGGGGGATGCCTGCACAAAAAGACGTTGCGAATTCTCCCGATCACGCAGTACAGGCAGCCTTATCCGATTCATGTGCTGCAAAGGGCACCACGTCGCTGACTCGCCTACTGTACTTTCACTTGCAGGACCTTGTTGAAGTAGGCTCTGCAAGCAGCCCATCGAGATCATGTGGCCAGGCAATTGTAGTTGGCTCCCAACATGAACGAACTAATTCTACAACTTGCAACTGACGAGTTGCAAGACAGCTGCAGCTGCTTCATCTATAGACCTGAGCTTGTCTCCAAGATTGGTTCAGAGACAGCATGAAGTCGTGTCGGATACATCGGTCTGTTGAACTGATCATTCTAATCTGAAATCTCATAAGCCGACCTACATACCCTCAATGATACCTTGCGGACATGCCGAGATGCCGCATGCTGGCGCTGCCCATATGGAGGCCGTAGCCTGGAAATTCGAAAGACATGACCTGGCAAGGGCTGTCGCGAGATAAGCATTTGCAAATTTCCGCAATTCTCATCGTCGATTTTCACTGGTGCAGGGGCTTACACGGTGCTTGCAGCCTGTAGCTGCTTCCCGCTAGTTAGCCGAATCCACTCGAAAAGACGAAAAAGGAAATTGAGAACGGTGAGGCTCAGGAAGACCGCCATCTAAGACCAGCAGCATCTACCGCATACCTAACATGTCATGAAACATGAGAAATAAGCTGCAAGCCGTCCAGACTGGGACCAAACCGAGCCGGTGGGACGTGCACCTTGAGTGATTCTGAAATACTCTGCAGCGTCTGCCGCATGTCGCCAATGTCACAGCCATTGCTGTGGGCATGCACAAGTAACACCTCAGGACACGTGAAATGCAAGATAACAAAACTTGCCAGCATTCACAAAGTCAGCCATCATCACAGCAAAAACGGCTATTGCCCCATGAACTTGATTGGAAACTTCTCGACAGCTCACTCGCTGAAGGCAGAACTCTCGGACCCTAATTGCAAGTTGCAATGCAGAACGTCCCAAAGGCTGAAAAGAATTCCCTCATTCTGATCGACAGGCCGAGCCTGACGCTTCGAAAGCAACGGCACGGGGCAGAAGTGGATTACCAGGCACATAAAGTTCCTGCTAAGTGCATGGAGCCCTGAAGAATCCTCATTCCTTCTCAATCTGATCAAGACAATTCAAAGGAAGCCAAGTTACAGGAGCCCCTTGCCTTACTGCGTAGAGCATGCAGGGTACCTCGCAGCTCACATCTGCTCTTCCATCACAAGTTGGGCATTCTGCAGTTCCAGGCACTGACACATCAGGCTACAAACGGGCTTCTGGTCTGCCAGGTTGCGCGGGACAGTCTCTGAGTCCAGTCAAACAAATAAGCAATATCCATCCGCCACTCCCCAAATTATCCTTCAGTAAAAATCCGGAAATCCAGACCACTAAGGGCTACACCCCTGGATGCGTCGATGGTTTGCCCCTCGGCACGAAGAAGAGCTCCGGGTGAGACTGGCGGCAAGTAATTGCTGCTTGGAAACAAAGGCTGACGTACACGGCTTTCGTGAAATCCTGCTGCCTTCCTGATGAGCCTGCAGCGGTTCCCATGGCTCTTCCAAACCCCCACACTCCGCAACAACATACTTGCCAGCATCGCCGTAAGCGAATAAGACGACTGGGGCGACGGGAAAGTGATCCTGGGTTGCCGCTTTGGGATCCGCGTGAAACTCGCAACCTTGTACACATGTCAGCAGGATGACTGGATTGGGCAGAGATTCCACAATAGGCAGCAACAAAACCATCAGAACATGTCAAAGCGACAGGTTCCTAGTGTTCAGGCAGTCTTGGTAGAACGGAGCAAAGCAACCTGCAGCCAAGCAGCTTGTCCACAATCCATTGTAAGCCAAGGGTCATTGCCTGCACATGCCCCAGACAACACTCCGGGCTTTGTTCTTGCAAGAAGCGCGGAAAAGCAAATACAGCACGTGTGATCTCTGAATGTTCCTCATCCTGCACGTTCAGCCACAATGGCACAAACCAAAAACAGGTTAAGGGAAGCCAGCGCGCATCTACACAGTCTGATGAACTCCGCGCTCCAAGCTGGTGACTGATCAAGATTGCCCCTGCCCCTTTTCGGCATGCAGGCCTCTGAACGGGCTGTACCCAGGCACTCCCTCTTGCGAGTAGTCTAAGCGGGCTTCTTAAGGGTTGGCCCAGATCGGAATGTTGTTAATTGGGTCTGCAGGGTTAGGGGCGGAGGCTTACCCCTGAGGTGTCTGAGGTCGGGCGGAGCCTTGGTGAGTTTTGCCCCGCCCTACAGCAGCTACAGCATACTGCTTGATCATGAAGCTTCAAAAGCTAGGTGTCTTGGATGCTGAAGCTACCTCAAGCGGCAAAAATGACTGCGGGAAGCAGCAGTAGCTTGTGAATAGCACAAAGGAGGCAAACCATAAGATCAATGATCACGAGAAGGACGGTAACACAGGTGTGACTAGTGGTGGGTAGCCATCGAAAAATCTGTGACTGCCGGACGCACAGGTCAACTTTGTTTCCTCTCAAGTCGGCTGGGGGTGCGCTCCCCCTGGCTATGCACCATCAGGAAATGGAATTACAAAGCCTGCTGGGGCTGCATAGAATTTGTGCAAAGCCCCCCTGCCAACTTTACTGGCCAGTGAAGGCTTCAAGCACTCTACTGGCGTGCTACGAACAGGTATCTGCCTTTACAGGGTGCTGCGTCAACAGACCGCCAACTGGATGCAATACCACTACTGAACATCCACATGCTGCTCTGTCACAGGATTCTACTCTTTGTTCACAAATCACAAATGATCTTTAAAAGCCATATTGATGCAAATTGGGCTGCATTGCCGGCAGTAAAGAACGCCACAATCTCGAGCAAGACGCGGCCGTTTTCAAAGTCCACTCAGTCTATGACATCGTCATGCACCCGCGGGGCTCTCCTGTTGCACCAAAAGCATGGGCTCCTACACATCGCTTGTGTAAAGGTCTGGTTCTTAGGAATGGAATTTGCCAAGAGAAGATGAGACAAACAAAGGCCTTTCATCCAGCTTAATGGAGCTTCAAGTTCTAGCAGTTTTAAGTGTTGGATTTGTTTCGAGTCTCGTTGCGCAAGACCTTGGATACACATTGGAGCTGCCCATGCTGCTTTGAAAGTACCATGCAAATGTTTCAACGCATGTTAGCAAACTCTTGCATGTTATGCTGGTCTTGGCTTTCGTGGTTAGTGGATGCATGAACTTACGCATCAGAATGCATTAAAGTGTTTGTTGTCGCGCCTTCAGCGCGGTAGACTAGAAGAGAGATGAGGCTAAGCATGAATTTGTCTGTTCATATCATATGGGACGCAAAATGAAAGACCAGACAGTAAGCACCCACTAGTAGCTGATAACCATGTAGCGCAAAGCCCTGCACTGGACTTTGGGCCCAGCGTATGGCCCTAGGGCACCCTAAAGTGTCTTAGCTAGAAGCATCACAGCCTTTCTACTTGCCGTAGACAAATCTATCTAGCCAAGCTGCATTTTGCTTTGAGCATTAGCCATTGTCAGGTAATTCTGCATGGGGCCCATCTCATTCCGACCCAACAGATCTTTTGCAAAGTAGTTGCATACCAACATCCAGGGCCTCCAGAGCAGACAGCGCCTGTTTCAGAGCTGTCAGCTCCTCCCAGGGCTAAGGTCTGGGACCTCTAGCTTAAGGACCCGTTGTGCGACAATTACGCCTTGAATCAGGCCTGGGACATTAAATCGGTTACATGCTGATTAACTTTGGGAAAGAAAACCCGGCGTTCTTGTCGCTCAATTAAGCAGCATGGGTAAGGAGCATTTGAGAAGTCCATACTCGGTTGTAATTCACTGTACTTCATGGCAATACACAGAGTCTCCTCTTGATAATCACTGTCAAGGGCTAAGTTCAAAGGAGAAGCCTTGCACGTGCCTCAACACACAAGTTGGCACAACTAAATCATCGAGATGCACCCATCTATGGTTGCAATATTGAATTCATGGAATCTTAATGGACTTGGCTTGCTTGGGTTCTGCCAATGGGGTGGGCCGATTTGATCGACTTGAAGATATTGACTTGCACGTCCCCTCACAGCAGTGCGGCACCTGCTCTCGCTTTTGCCGACGCTCCTCGGGGGTAACGACGGGTGCCTTGCCACACAACTTTTGAGACCATACCAAAGACATTCTATCCCCAGCAAATCCCAACCAGAGGAGCTTTTGGCTAGGTGGTTCAGAGATTTGACAGAAACGCGTAGCCAGCTAGTGGATGGCATTGTGGTGCTAACGAGAGGTACCTGGCTGAGAAATGCCCAAGATACGAACTCAGCATCATTTGGCTGCATGGTGTTCCAAACGTGAGCGGAATTCAGTTGAAATCCTCTTCAGGCTTTGCGTCGTGTCGGTGTTTGCACAGACTTGTAACTGAACGGCCCTGCAAGCGGCGGAACCTCATAGGCCTAACTTGTACAAATACTGTGGCACATTGCAACACTAATGCGACATGAGTGTCTTAGTCAAGCCGTGACAGGACGAACCTGCAGAGCTACGCCAACTGCAAAGTGCGCACACCCGCTTCTCGCCAGATCAGATGCATTGCAGCAAAAGAAAGTTGTTCTGCCTTGCACTGGTCCTGCAGCTTCTCCAAATATGCTTGCACTTTCTCCAATCTGGCAAACGGATTCACTGCTGACTACTGTCAGACATACTTGAGAAGTACATCCAAATCAACGACGGTGGACTCGCCTAAGGGGCCTAACGTCTGGAAACCCAAATTGTCCAATACACAAAATGAGCTGAAACCTTCAGCTGTGCAATGCTGTGAACATGCATCTGCTGCGGTTAAGGTCAATCACCTACAACCAGTACTGAATAACGAGCGCAAAGGTCATCAAACTAGCTCAGACTGAATACATAAAACTTGAAGGCAGCACAATTCGAAAGTGTGGGACAGGCATATACTGCAAATAGCACCAACCGTGGGCCATCACAATAACAAATAGCAAAGCTATAACTGTAAGAAAAATGACTTTAAAGCAGCACCGACTAAAGCTTCAAGTCTGTGGCGAAGACCTGCAGCAACGCTGACCATCCCTTATTGGCAGGGAATTTGCCCTGATACTAAACTGCATCCCTCCATTCGTCCTGGATAATGATGAATCGTCCACTATAGAGGATATTGGTTGAAGGACTGGTATGGAAGCCTCTTCGTGTCTATGAAATCAATCACTTTTTGAGGTTGGTGCAGCCTGGTTTAGTTTTTCATGCCTCTGCTTATACCATAAAGGCATCTGAAAGTTCTCTTAATCTGTCCCTCTCACACAGAAAGAGGCGCACTTCTCCGTGGACTTTGCAAGCTCTGCCTCCAAGAATGCACCGCCCATGTACTCGATTTCATGGTGTTCAGGTTTTGGTGCTCCCCCATGTACTGAGACTTCACTTCTGGAGCTTCGAAAGTCTTATTATCGTTGGGGTCATGCATAACGAATTCTATCCTTAACTCTCACGCACACCTCGAACACCCTAGTGTGACAACCGTTTTCTACCAAGATCGCCACAGCAACAGGGCCATACAAATGAAGGTCTTTTTGTTGCTGCTTCAAGCCTTGCCCTGCTTCAGGGCCATCTGCTTGCGCTCCAAGCGGTCCTGTCATGACCCAGTCTCAAGCAATTGACTGAGGAATCTGTGAGGGTGCTGCTAAAGTGCAAGACTTTCTGCGCTCGAACTCATAGCTTTCTCGGGTTTTCGCCTTGCAAACCTCCCCTGCTGGCTAGAAAAGCCAACTTGCTGACTGATGCTGCATCTTCGTGAAAATTGAAGGCTTTCCACTTTGCCTTGGGCCAAGATCCCCCCTTTATGTTACAGTACTGTCCAAAATGCTGCTACCGCAATTCCACTATGTCTACGCAGGGTGGCCCATGCACTAGTCCACAACCAAGAACGTGATAGAAAGAGGCGTATTGGACGCGCTTGTGCCCCAATAAGGGAAACGAAACCGTAAATCTACATCACCTATTGTTGCGCAATCACATCAATATGCAAAATGTCGCGGCGTCGCAGCTACGCACTTGAGACAAAGTGACGGGGCATGGGTGTCCTCGCTGTGCACCAGCTCGCGGCTTTTGATGGCTTGATCCTGCTCAGCATCTCAGTACGCTTCATCGGTGTAGAAAGTCGCTTGTCCTTCCGGCTCTCCACCAGAAAGTGCTGAAACTGCCCTTCTTCGGCCTGCTCCTGCATTTGTGCTCGGAAAGCCGGGCTTTCTGCAAGGCGGTTCCCTCTTGAACCCTATATGGAAAGAGCAATGCTGCACTACAAAACCCAAACCAGGATCATGATGATGTCGATGATGTAGGGATATCGAGATTCAGAAGTCATGCCGGGGAGGTAAACTTCAGTTGCATGAGGATTGCTCCTCATCGGCCAATTCAGCCGCAGCAGAGGCATAGGAGCTTGCAGCCACCTGAGGAAGTGCTCTGAAAAGGAAGTTCTGAGCATGATGTCATTTTTCCCCCAAGTTCATGGCATGATATGCTCTGGTTTGAATCGATCCAAAAACCTGTGAATTACTGGAACGCGCAATCGTATGATGATGGCATGTGCTGATGACATCTGTACTGCAGATTGTGCTTCTTCTGGACCCCAGACCAAGAAGCCTCCCATTTCTGAGTGCCGCATTGGACGTCACAAAGGGGTGTGATGCAACACGCCTCCGTCTGTTCCCGACAAACTTGACGGAACATGATTTGGAGACTTAACTGAAGACCCTTTTGCGGCGGAACGAGGCATGACATCCGTCTTCAGAGATACTGGATCGCATACCCTTAAACCCGAAGACTTTGTAGAATCCTTTTACGAGAAGCGCGGACTGAAAGCCAGATGTCCGGGTTTCCAAGTCAAACCGAAAAAATAAACACGACTTAACAAAACTGTCCTTCCTGCATGTGGAAGTGCCTCAAGGAGTTCCAGCACCCCCTTCTGCGGAGTTGCAACCTCATTTGTACTCAGGTGATGCTTGGACCATTGGAAGATTGTTAGATTGCAAACTCTCGAAGCTGAAGCTGAGAGTGACCTCTGTTCCTCGACTCAACTATCAACTTCCTGCCAAGAAGCGTAGTCGACGTCGGGAAACGTTTCTGGGGCACCCTCCAGAACTGGTGCTGCCAGCGCAGCCTAAGACACACCGAGCTGTCAAAACAGAGGTTTCGGAAAGATGTTTTTTTGGAATTCTGAGTATGCATGTCCCCAAAGTGACCGCACCTGCTCCACTTGCAGTAGCGATGCAGGCACCTGGCCCAGGAGGCGGACTAAGGGGCAATAGGCGAGTTCAATGGGAAGCTGTGGATGTCCGAGGAGGCCTATACTTTTGTTTTGAGGAACAATAAGGTCAAAGCATCCCTACTTCATGCTGCTTCTGCTTTGCCCTCGAACCTTCAAAGCTTCTGCATTTGCACTTCCTGCCTGGCCGTAAACCTCACGCAGCATCACCAAGGCCGCCTCCAGCGCCTTCTGAGACTCTTCCGCCTCCTCGACCACAGTTGCAAATTGCGGTAATCTTGCATGATAGCTCTTCATGGACAAAGCCAAGAACATGGGGCCAAGTCAACACCAACGACTCTGCGCCTTCATGCTGGCTGCATTCTTGGCCTTGGCTTGAGCTCTTTCTTTCTGAGCCTAGCATGGCATCAGCGCTTGGGACGGGTTCTTTTAAGCTTCCCAACCTCATGCCTGCACCTGCCCTGATCCCGCCTCGTCAGTCACACGGCCAAGTTCTGCTAGCTCCTTGCGGAGTGTTGCCTGATCCTGGCCACGAGAAAAGCACATCATTCAAGGTTGGCTGAAAGTGAAGCGGTCGGAGTCCTCCGCCAACTGGTCCACTTCTGATTTTGCTTCCTCGAGCCTTCGCACCCGTGGTACACGTGAACATGACTGGAAGCATCCAAGTTTCTTCATTCTTTCCAATCTTGAGGCCTTTGCCAGTCGTGCCCGAAAGAAAACCAACTTTCGGCATAAACAAGAAATCTGAAATCTGCCACTGAAGCCTGAAGACCTCACCCAGTTCGTCTAACGCCCTGGCTCACCAAGGACCTCTTCTGCGGCATCTTTGGCCGCCTTGGCACGCCACAGTGTGCCCGGAGCTGACCATTCTTTCGCGACAGGGCAGTTGACCAACTGGGCTTCTAGTTCTCACCAGCATGCACATTGCCCAACAAGCAAAAATGAAGTCAGCAACGTAAGATCGTCCCGATGCCGTTTACAAATCATAAACCCTTCAGCTCAGCAAAAAACTAGGCAAATCTTTCCGACTGTTGTGGAAAATTCTCAGACGTGCATCTGTGCCAAAAGGGCGCAGCACAGCCCTTGCAGATTTACATGCAAGCTCCCCAATTCTCTCCGAATATCGCATGTTGTACTGTCTGCACTCTGCTTGGGGCACCGTCTTGGCAGCATGGCTCGCTGCCAACTCCGCTGTGCAGAAGGACTCAGCGCAAGGCTTCATAATGCGTTAAAGAAGTGTGGTCTTGAGATGGTATTTGAGATGTTAACACCCATTTCAAGTAAGATCTTCATGACTTGGAAGTGGCCAGGCTCAACCCTTGCCCGTGACACCTGACCAAGCTCAACCGATGTGAGCTGAGGGCGGAGGCTTTCACTCTTGAAGATTTTGACTGGGAAGCCCTTGAAGTCTGAAGCCCCAAAGCCTGAACACGCTACATTACACACCAATCAGCCGTATCTACCAGGAAAAGCAATCCTTTCCGCCCATCGTGCCTGCTTCTCGGCTTCCCCACGGCTTGCCTAGCCGAGTAGTACCGGCAGTGATGCAGGAAAGATGGCAATGGAAGGTGAAGCAAATCTGAGTTCTGCATGGTGCCGTGACGTGTCTGCTTTCACGCTGCTTGTTAACTGCTCTCACCGGGATGAAAGCAATGTTTGGAAAACTGGACAAACACCTACCCATTTACCATGCTCACCTTCTGCTCTCTGATCGCGCGCTCTCGTTGTTTGCTTTGATTCGGGCGTTGAGGAGGGCAGCTTGCCATCTGGGATCATCCCCATGCCCTTGTGTCGGGCGGAAGCCTAACAAGAAGAACGCCACAAAGACCAGCACCCTCTGCACGACAGGAGCGTGAAGGAATAACCTGTAACACTTAGATCACACGCTCTATCTGCCCTCTGTCTTTGCATTGCTTTGCTGCACGGGGATGATGGGGCGAGCCCCACAGGCCTGTAGGCCCCCGAAAGCGCATTATACGAGTTTGGTTTGCGTCAAACATTTATCCATCGCTGGTTCTTTTTCCAATGATACTAAACGTGAAGATTGTCTCTGCAAGTCGACTGCCAACAGGAAAAGGAACAAGGCAAACAAACGTAAGGCTTTCATTACGAATAGTCGGTTCCAGCACGTGTTTCTACGCGGAGGGCACCGGTCTTTGAAGAATTTTGGAAGCCAACTACTTGAGGAACAGCATTGGTTCCAGTGACTGGGCTCTGCAAAATGATCGGCTAAAATCTCGACCCCCGCGGTTCGATTCTGGGTCTGCATCCGGTTATGGACTTTGCAACTATTGCTACTATGATCATGCTATGCTCACAAGCACCAAGCGCACATGTGCAAGAAAACCTTTCGCGCCCTCTCGAGAAGATCTTGATTTAGGGCCCTGTTAGGCCGAAGTGGCCACACATGACATTTCAAGAGCAATGCGCTAGCGCAAGTCCTAAATTGTCGCGGGTATGGTTTCTCTGTTGACGCAAGCATCATCTCACAATATCACACGTGGGGCCTGAAGGTGAGTCTTAACCTGCAGCTCTTCGCTCTGCTTCGTCAGCCCATCAGCCCACTGAAGGTGTCAGACTGATGGTCTCTCTCTGACAGAACCACGTCGTAAAGTGACTTGGCGTCAAACACGTGTAGGTGAAGGAGCTAATTCTTGCCACGGTGAGCTGGTACGTCGTACGAGATCTCAGCGAGGAGGAGAGTCGAGAAGCTGATATAGGATCCCCCGTCGCAAGCATCATCAGCCGCGGAAGCCTCGGCAGCTAATGTTGATCAGCACACTCTGGTCGATCGACTTGACCGCCAATCACGAAAGGCCGCGGAGGAAGTCTTTTGCAAAGCTCCTGGCAATGTTATCAGCACCAGCACGCTGCATTGAGAGCGGCACTTCTCAGCGTTAGCTCAGGAGGTGTTGGAGTAGGTGTTGATGAAGCTGGCCTTGTTCAACGGGGCACGTCCTCGATGACTAAAAATCCTCCTGTGGGAGCCGGGCAAAGCCGCGAGCCTGGTACAAGTTTTTCATGTTTCCCCTTTGTTGGTGTTAGGCTGTGCACAGCTGAAAGCTCAGGACGGGTCTGGGTCAACAGCCACTGTGTTGTGTTGGAGGTCCACTCCCTTCGGGAGCTTGCCGGGCACCAAGCCAGTGATGAACTCGACTTGGCACAAAGGCAGGAAGTAGCGTCCGTTGCTTCTCTGCAGGTGATCTGCTTCCCCTTGCACGTGAACTATTGATTCAGCTTGGTGTAGTCAAGCGAACCCCACTTGAAGGCCTCCCAGACTGGCGTCACGTCGTAGTCATGACAATGAAACCCAAGAAAATCACCGACGTAGACGATGATGATGATGGACAGCAGGTCATTGCGGGGCTGCGCAAAAGGAAGACCATCTTGTGAAAACTGCGTTGCTGGTAGCCAAGATCCTTCAGGCGCTTAACGCCAGTGATTGCCCACAGTCTGGGAGCATTTGCCAACCCATAGATGTTGGTCTGAACCAGGTACAGCGGCGCTGACCAACACCCTGTTGATCGAGTCAGGCCGGCCTCTGGAAGACGTAAGAACAAAACCAACGTCCTTTCTTCTTCCCGCGAAGCTGGACTCGCAGCGAACGCATCGCCACTCGTTCTGGTTGCCCTGGATCACATTCTCCGCCACCTCCCGTTCAAGAGTTTCAAGCAAGGGGATCAAGAATGGTCTGGTCGTCAGGGACGTCGTCTTCTGCAACAGACATGCTGCGACTTCCGGAGATCTTCCCCCTTGGCAGGGACGACGACCTTCCGAGTATGGATGGCGGCATGGTGTAGGGGAAGCCGTTGATCATCTCGAAGCTGATGAAGAGACACAACCGCACGCAGGCTGGGCAACAAGTGATCGCGCTATGCTCACAAGCAAGAAGCGCACATGCGCAAGAAAGCCTTCTCGCGCCCTCGCGAGAAGATCTTGACTCAAGGCTAGGCCCTGTTAGGCCGAAATGACCACACATGACATTTCAAGATGCGGCTTGGTCAAAGAGCAACAGGCTAGCGCAAGCCCTGAACTGTCAGCTAGGACTGAGTCTTCTATACAACACGTTTCAGTTGGGCTGGTGGTTTGACTTCACGGCATGTCTTTGTGATTCTTACCTCACGGTGTTCTCGACCTGGTTCTCCCGGACGCGGACGATCTTCTCAAGCAGGCGTCGAACTCGCTCCCGGCGCCGTATCATATCGTATCATTCACATCCATTTCATGCGTGGCATCCTAGTGTTCCGCATCCAGCTTTTCTTGGGCAGCGAGTTCTTTCTCGCGTTCTTCGTTTCGGCGCTCATCTTCTTCGGACATCTTTGCGCCGTTGCTACATCTCCACCCACTTGGTTCTGACGTTGAACCAGCCACCACTTGCGGTCCCACCACTTCCAGTTCGATGATGCCTGCCGCTGCCTCCGGCGATGCGCCCGACTCTGATGTTTCCAGTTGCGGAGGCGCATGTAGAGCTGGGCTCTGCCAACCAATGGCGGAATTCCCCCCAACGCTTGGATCCAGCCACGCACATCACCCTCTGGTCGGATTGGTGCTTCTGCTGCGTCGGCTTCGGGCTGTGTGGTTCTACTTGATTCGACCACTTCTTGTTTGAGGCGAGTCACGGAGGTATTGGAGGACAGGTAGGTGCAGGTCCCGGTCGGCATCGGCCATCCACGGCGGACCCCTCTAAATCTAAAGGCTACCACCCAGTCGTACGGGCTGTCACTGGTGGCAATTGGTTCTCCCACTGGTTCTGGAAGATGGTTTTGCTGTCTGACGGTTCGTCCTCCCTTGCTGGCTGGCCACGATTGTGGAGGTGCTGTTCCACACACCACCCATCTGGCTCCCTCCCACCTCCTTTCGCGTCAAGCTGCGTGCGTGTCTGAGGGTTCATCGGGCCACCTCGTCATCCTGGCGGTTTCGTTCCACATCGAGGTGGCTTCCGCCCGGTGTTCCGTGTGCTCCGCGTGCTCCGCGGCCTGCTGGTTCTCCTGCGTCTCCACCATCATCTCCGAATTGTGCTCCTCGTGACAAGTAGCGTGGGCGCATCCACTGTGTCAGAAACATATCCACCATAAGTGAACACCGCGTCGTCCGAGTTTGTGACTGATTCCGTTGCTGCGGAGGTTTGTTGTCGCTGCTTGCTCTCCCTTCTCCCAAAGCTCTGCCCTTCATCGATCGGCTCTCAGGCTGGTCTGCTCAAAGTAGTAGTCGAAATCGTAGTAGCACTGCTGACGGTTCCGGGCCTGCGACGGTTGCCATTGCTTGTACCGGTAGGTCGAAGGCTGCTACGATCCATTGGTTCGGCAAAACCGCCTGCAAGTGGTCGATGGACGCTTTGCGCTCATCCTGGCTCTTCACATTCCATTCCCACTCAATTCCCAGGATGACCTGGCGTCTCTTTCTCTCTTGTTTTTGGCTTCTGCGGGAGAATTCACCAAAAGTTCCTACACAAGCAAAATTCATGAACAAAACACCAAAGTAGCGGCGGAGCCAATGAATTCCTGCATCAACTGGATGATTCGTGGCCTTCCAAAAGCCCACGCCGTCTTCTGACAACACGGCCAAGCAAAACACGAGACAAACACTGAACCTGAAACAAACGAAAAGAAAATGCCTCACACTGGCTCCAATTCGCGAAGAATGTTTTGTTGGCCTTGTCATGCTGTGCATTGGGT